ATGGGAAAGGGGAAGGGGAAGGAATGAAATGGTGCGAAAATAATGAAAACGTCTAAACCTTTCATGCATTATGGTATTTTATGTTTGTTCCTTCATGTTCATTCTTCTTTTTTGTTTCTTCTTAAAATCATTTCTTTTTAGCTTCTTCATGAGATTGAAATTCATGACTTGGGGCATATCGGGTGCGGGGGCTAGCTGGGAACTGGAATGGTGGGGAAAGAGGGCAGCATTGAGGATATGCATAACTTTACAAGGGGTTTTCGCGACACATCATTTCTTGAGGCGTTTTTTTTTTTTTTTTTTCTCTTCTTTTTTTTCCCCTTTGTTACCTGGCTTTTCTTTTCAATTTTGCATCTATTTCATATGGTCTTTGGGTTTCCTTTCCTCGTAAGTATACTTTAGTCCGATTAATAGTATGTAATGGCCAGTACTTTCTTTGTCATGTATATTTCCTCCCTTTACGTTATTTCTACTCATACCGGTTTCTAAACTGGTCATAATGGCGTTATAAACTCAGGGGAGTGAGTGCATATATGTATCAGAAGAGATGGATTGGGTGTATATGATGACGGCGGTAGAGGTGCATGATGGTTATTATACTCTAGTAGAGATGCGATTATAGCTCTCTAGTTAGCTTTGATAAAGACGAGAAGAAAAAGAAGAGAAATATTTGCTACTTCGATCAATTGCGACTTTTGTATCATAGTAAGAAAAAAAGAAAGAAAAAATGGCGGAATTTATGCTGCATTATGCAAAAGCTACTCTATGTGTGACACAGCATGTTTATCCGTTCCGCCATGCGCCGTACCAATTGCGCACGAGGGGATATGACAGGCCGCAGAGAGAGAGATCAGAGAGAGCCTGTAGCAAAGCACTCTACCTGAAATCGGAGTTTGGTGATCACGCTCAATGACCAAGGGAGGGCCGAGCGAGAGGGTGCTTGCACAGACAGATCTAGAGTACAGATTCTATGCAGGAAGTGTTTACCGGCATTCGATTATGTATGTATTTCATCTACATATATTCCTTCCGCCAGTGGCCATGGTAAACTTTTGATCCCACAAGGTGCACAGTTATCTGGGCGGGCTCAGTATCCGAATCACATCACATCACATAACATAACATAACATCACGGCAAGCATGTAGAGACATAGCTAGCTATGTACAGCCACTCTGCAAAAGTGTTCGTGATTCCGATTTCGGAGTGAGACATTTCTTCATGTCCAACCGTGGTGGACCATCAAAACCCCCCAATAGAAGACTTTCCTAGTGACCAATGGCGCCCGAAATCAATGTTGAAGGTGATTAATGACCTACTTTCTTTTATATATAGTCACGAACTATATTATATATTTTTCGTTGTTTTGAATCTCAACATTAATAACATCAACTCCACGGGTGCGCCACACTGCGCACTGACATTAAAACTAAATCACGAACACTTTTGCAGAGTGGCTGTATATAGGGGCCCTGGAAATAGAGTACATTGCGGTTGATCCGGTAGTATTAGTCGAAAGTGGGGTTAGTTTATAACCAAGATCAGAGCATTATATTAGTGATTATGATTGGACCAGGATCAAACCCTGGCAGCTTGTATGTAGTTCAAACCTCGGATCTTACTGGCGGGCGCTAGTTAGCTAGATGGCATGGTATGGTGTGCATGGATCAGCTAGAGTCTTGTGCTGGTGTTTCGGACTTTAACGTAGGCCGTTTGGCACGGGCGTTCCGCGATCATGTTACTCAGCTTTCGGCCTTTTGGCTGTTTAGGTGTTAATTGTGAGTTGTGAATGGCTTTCTAGATCCCGTGGCTGTTCTGAGTGTAGTCAGCATATGATTTAAAAGATGGTCTAGTCCGTGGACTGCCGGAGTGTTTTAGTTTGTCTTCTGATTCTATAAAGGTAGCTAAGATGTATATTATTTCGGTATGAATCATGGATAGCTAGAAGGGAGCAAGGACTTAAGCAGGCTAGATTTGATGCTAACTCCAGACTATCCGAACGCGTGGGGGCGAGGCCTCCCCGAATTGTATCTTTATAATTTATCTGGTGAAGTTAATTACGTATATCATTGATCAGGTCGCCTTTGAACGCGGCCAGAGAATCGTCTAGTATCAATGATTCTAGGCTTCGGGAGTAGTCGGTCAAACGTCAGATAGATGCCGACTGATCCCCTTCATCGGCACCTTGAGTAGAGTCTTTGGTATGTACGTGGCGTGAAGTATTTAGTAGTTAGGCCTGTATGATGAGTGTGGTGTTTTCCATAGCATAAGTCCGGGCCTTATCTGCGTACTGGGTGACTCATGATCATTACTTATCAACGCCTATCGAACGAACGCCACAACCAAGCCCAGTATGATATTATCATCACAGACCACCATCCCTTAGTCTGTCAGTAAACAGCTGACATGACCCCCGAAAGTTGGTGGCTTTTGCCAACCGATCCTGTTATCTTATCAAATAACAGATCTCCCATTCCTCTATTATAGGGCGTCAGCAGATCTAGATTGTAGACTCCTTCACTGGGTTATGGTCAACACGGGGGTATGGTCAATCTCAAATATACGCCGGAGTGATATATGATACGCAGGGAGCTGATCGAATACCCTTGGAATTGACCACACCCCCGTGTTGGCCATATACTCGCGAAGGAGTTATATATACGACTAATAGTAGTCCTTTTCAAGTAATATTTCTATATATTTTTCCATGTAACCCCACCCGTCCGGCTAGATATTGTTGATAACGAGTGATGGTTCATGATGACAAATAGAGCAAGTACTCAAGGTCCAATACATAGTAGGGAGTGAGGATGAGCTCAGATCCGACCTGGATAAGCTCCGATACGTATACATATCAATATAGAAATTGATCACATATTCTTCTAGCTATGTAAATGATCGAATGGTTTGTTGTTTCCCATACAAATATTCGAGGCGTGAGTTGATAAGACACAATATATAAATCAAGAAATACGTCTACTGATGCTTTTTCAATCGGTTTTGTAATCTTGATGACCTTGGTGATACTTGTGATATACACCTACTAAACAACACCTACGAGAACCCAATATACGCCTATCCAGCGAATAGCAAAAGAGTATACCCCCCCCCCCTCTTTTCGTTTCAAAGAATTCCCCTCTCTCTTCTTCCAAGTACCATACAACCATACAGTAAAGGAACCAAGTCCCAACTATTCAAATAGAAAAGTATCTAGGGTAGTACAAAACTAAACCGTAATCATATCTTATCACTCGGTTTCGGCTCCTACCCTCACCCGACTCCCCTAAATATCACCCGGGCCGAGTAAGCCAAGATCGACACTCGACGCTGTATGAGTCCCTGGTACCGATACAAACCCGGCCCTGGTCACGTCTTTACGTCTTTGTGGTGGTTGCTTCAATCCGAATATATTTGCCCACCCATACAGGCCGGCAGAAAGTTGGTCGTGGGGTGTGTGTACAGAGGCCTCAACAGACGTGCCTAACCGGGTCATGCAGGAGTTAGCAATATTGGCAGCCTAGTCTGTTCCATGGATACCTCCTCCGAATCCGATCGGGCCGGTACAAAAATACATCACAACCAACATTCCGATAAGGAAACATCACCCGAGAGCGCCAAAGATCCACTGTAGCACTGCACTCGGATGGGTCTATAGTATAATACGTATACTCATACACCGGCTCAGTCCACTCCGGCCTGGACATACAGACAGGCTCATATAATACCGGCTACCCTATGTACCAGTTACGTAGTTAGGCCAAGGCATTCAACATACGGGTGCGGGAAAAGTAACGTTTGCAATGAGCATGAGCATGAGGACTTTTGATTCTTCACTTTTGTCGATACACGGCCGCAAATATATAGCTCAATAGGTGGGTTGAAACTAGCAAGGCCGGATCATTGATATCTACTACAACAGTGGCAAAACCCTATCTCTCACTCCGCTAGCCCACACAACAACGTCAACGTCGAGTGATATCCCATGAACCATAAAGCACACCTCCTCTCACAATCAAGAAATCACATCTAATACGACAATACAATATCTTTATTCCATTCCCGCCGCCCCCCCCCCCTCCCTCTTTTTCTTTCTCTCTCCCCCCCTTTCCCTTTCAGCTAGCTATCGATCCCATCCACATTACCGCACCCGCGCCTAAAAAATAAAATAAAAAAAGCTAGATATAGAAAAATGATAGCACGTGCAAGAACGATACTCATCCTGCCCCCCTCTATATGCCCCTTATATCTATCTCTCTCCCTGCTATCTATGTAGTAACTACAAGATAGAGAGAGGGTAGGTGAGGAGCCAATATATAGAAAGCTAGTAGGCGGAGTAGCTATAGATGATGATGATGTGAAGGGATATATAGAAAAACATGCAGCCCGAAAGAAGATGAAAATGAGTAAGAAGGAAACGGAAAGAAGAGAAAAAAATAATGGGATATCCTAGCTAACGAATTAACAAATTCAAAGACCTCGGATATCATGACATGACCGCCCTCCTCTTTCTTTCTTTCCTTACTCAACCAGCCAGCCAACCTACTACTAACACACTACCAGAAACCGCAGACAGCGCACGCACACACAATAGATCCGCAAGGTAGAGCGCCCCGGAAGTAAGGTTAATACTTCCACAAGAAAGAAGAAAAAAGACAAAAAAAGTATAGGATAAAAAAAAAGCAGAAAAAACTAATACCCAGAAAGAAAAAAAAGAGACAAAAAAAGAGAAACCTTTCATACGCCCATTCCCGGAGCCACATCAGACCGCCGCACCCATCCACTCCGATTTCTGCCCCTAAAAATCAAATGAACTCAAAGTGGTAAGATAAATATGCGTGCTATATTCCTGACCTGACCCCATCATCTTCTTTCATTTTCGCGTTTTGCCCCACCCAACCCCGACCCCCAATTCATTCCAATCTCATGCTTTCATTTCCCGTAGCTCAATTCCTATTACAGCGTCGAACTTTTGGTTTTCGTTTCGTTTGCAAGCTTGTGTTTTTTACATCACATCCTGATACAGCAGCAATGGCTCCCCGACGTGTTCGATCTCTGGTATGGTGCATTTCAGGTCGAAAGCTTTCGATAGTACGATTTTAAAGATCTACCCCGGCCGTACCAATCAGCTACACAGTCCCCCCCGCAAAAATTATAGAGATCGGAAAAAGAAAAGCATACCTTCTGCACATTGATGCTATGACTCGTACTCGAAAAGATCAAGGACGCCTTCATCGCCCGAGCAAATTTCCTCGCCTGCTTCGAGATCTCCTCCTGGTCTTCCCTCGGGAAATTTACAAAGTGGTCATACTTTGTCCCCACCAAGAACGGGATCGCAGTCTAGAACCCCCAATTAGCCAACCAGGCCCCCCACATAACATCCCCCCAGTAACCCACCGAAAGAGAATAGCTCACCTTATTGAATCCCCGAGCCTGCCGGTACCATTCCTTGATGCTGTTGAGAGTGCTCTTCCGCGTCAGGTCAAACATGAAGAGGATCGCGACGGCGTCGTTGCACACGAGTGGTAGCATGTTGACGAATTCCCGCTGGCCGCCGAGATCCCAGATTGAGAATGTGATCTCCGTGTTGCGGATGGATATCGTCTTCTCCATGAAATTTACACCTGCCGTTTTGCATGACCGTCAGTCTAGCACCAAACAGGGGGTGGAGAGATTCGAGGTGCAGAGCAAGAATAGCAGATAGTAGGGGTCAAGGATAGGGGAAGTGTGGGTTCCCCAGAAGATGACAAGCTGTCAAGAGTAGGTGGGTATAGGAAGATAGTGAGGAGGAAGAGGAGGAGGAGGGTGACAAACCAAGAGTCTGGATATAATCCTCATCGAAACTACCCTCTACGTACTTTACCATCAGACTCGTCTTTCCAATCTGCGCATCCCCCACCATCCCCACCTTGATGACCACGCTGTTCCGCTTGGCCTCCGCCCCTTGCCCACCTGCCGCAGCCGCGGCCGAAGTAAAGTTGTTCATCCCACCGCCGTTACCGTAGAGCTGTGACTGAGATAGAGGAGGGGTGCCCGAGTTTCGTTCGTCCCCTATTGCGCGCGAGGGCGAGTTTGAGTCCTGGGGCGAGAAGGTTAACGACGGGTCGGAAGATGTGTAGTGCTCCTGTCGCGGTGTGGCAGCTACGTCTACGTCGATGTGGGAAGGGAGAGAGCCGTTGTTCTCGGGGGGTGGAGGAGTGGTTGTCATTTTTATAGGAGGAGGTGTAGGTGGACGGCGGAGGAGATGCAGGAGAGGGTTCGTGAAGCGAGTTAGTGGGAGAGGAGGTGATTCGGCCAAAGATGGGAGGGGGGAAGAAAAAGCAGGCTGTGAGTGGTTGTCAAGTGTACTTTTTTTTCCCGCTTTCCCTTTCTCTTTTTCCCTTTCCCGTGATTGATTTTTCGACGAGATGGACGGGGGAGTTCTTTTTTTGTGGGTTGCGAGCGGCGGTTGTAAGATCACACACTGTACGTACACACGGTCTTTGATCACTTTCTTACCCCCCGTTTCTGGGCGGTGACAGGTGGTTGTGTTTCGAAGGGCACTCAATCGAATCAAGAGAGGGAACAGAATGAAACAAAACAGAGCCTCTTTGGCAGGCCTAACTACAAAATGGAACCACCAATGACAGGGCAGGGCGGTTAGTTGGTATGTATTTGTTGGAGATGAGGAGAGATGATGCACGAGAGATGAGGGCAATGTAGGTGAGCGAGAGAACAGATAGGTATGTGTAAAATAGATGAAGAGAGAGATTAGATAGGGACAGATTAGATAGGGACAGATTAGATATGTAGGGGCGCGACTCGTAGGGGTGTGATTTAGATGAGTAGAGAAGGCTTTATTATTATTATTAGAGGTATGAGGAATATGAGGATTAAAGAGCGGTGACTACATGTGACACAGGTTAAAGAGATGGGCAGCAGATCAACAATCAAGAGGAGTCAATTGAGATGAATGTAGGTACGAGCAGCTTAATGATTTCGACACCAATGGCGAAGAGAGAGAGATGTATTGTAGAGAGAGAGAGAAAGAGAGAGCTCAATGGTCAACAGAGATCAATGGACGGAAGAGAGGGTCAATTAGGCGTACAGACAACCGGCCCAAGTTGATGATGTCAGTTGTCGACGCCTGCCGTTGTCGGCTCATTTCAGGGCCTCGGTGATGGTGTGAGGGGGCGAGGTTATCACAGCATATGTCACTGTGGTGCACAGAGAGGAATGAACAGTATTCCATTTCAAATTGTTCGTAGTGTCAACAAAGGGGATGGCCAGACCATCTGAATTCATTACATTTTATTTGTAGTGGTGCAATGGATGTGGAGGGAGATGGACGCTTCCTGATGTTGCGGCTGATAAGGCCAGCTTGGCGCGAGACACCCACATCTCGATGTAGGGATGTGGAGTTGTAAAAGTGACAGTCAGCCAGACAGCCAGACAGGCGAGAACGTGAGTGGGATAAGTACATGTAGAGTACATGGAGAGGATGGAGACTAGGACATGAATGCAGTTTACAGCACTCCTCCCGTGATGGACCACATGAAGACAAGACGAGAACGGCCTGAGGACATATCTGGACGGGTGCTTGCATGAAGATAACCTTCTCTGTAACCTAACGCTCCTCCTTGTTCAACGTTATTCAACACCGACATGTACCTATACCACTTCTTACCTATATGTAGGTATATGCATGTACCTCGAGCTCACGGGTGAGGATTTATCTACCGATATAGGTAACGGTAGGTACTCGTTGTAAGAACACAGGTGCACTGCTCATACCTGTAGGCACATAAAGCATGTCTCGTATCAAGATGTTTGGCTTCTTGAGTACCAACCGACTCTGGCTTAGAAGCGCGCCTAGTATATAACATCGTAGAGCGCTTGCTCTCTGAACTACATCTGTAGAAACAGTGCCTCAATCAATCCCTCTCTTCTAGACTGCTGGATACCACACGCCGAGAGTCGGTCAACTCACATTGCCCCATCCGGCTCGGCTGCTTCCGAGTTTCACCACACCCCTGCCCGCCACAGCCAATAGAGAATTCTCCTCGCCCTCCACCATGGAATCAAGCCTTTTCACCAAGACCTTGGGCCCATCGACCCCCCTTCCTGCTTAAGTGTAGGTACATACATACAAGTTACTGACAGTCGAGGAAACCACCGACCCCTCCCCCCCGACAGAAGAAGAAACCTCTCTGCCCACCCCCCAGTGTCAGGGAGACACAGACCTGCAAGATAGCCGTTGATCACGCAAACCACGCGGGCCCCCTGTCAGATAAACAGCAAGAGTCCAGTCCCCTCCCCCCCCGACGTTAGACAGTCAGGGAGTGGGTGAAGGAAGAAGAAGAAGAAACAGAAGAAGAAGAAGAACGGAGGAAACCAACCACGCAGGAGTGGTACTTGTTTTTTCCCACAGAACAAAAAGGCGTACGTCGGGGATATTGATATTCAACATACCGTACCTGTACCGTGGATCACAGAAAGAAGAAAGGAAAGACAAAAAGAAAAGGAGTCTGATCCCCCTCAAAGCTCGGATCACAGTTCCGACATCGCGTGTAGCTTTATATTGCCCCCCTTCGATCCTGTCGCCATCATCGAACGCGGACATATATTTCTCAGTTCCCTGCCACGCCAGTTTTTTGTTGAGTTTTTGAAATCCAAATTTCACCACGCCCGAGGCTCGACTCGCCGTCTGTGGTAGACTCGGCAATCTACCCCACAGCCCCCCTCGATGCGTCCCGTTGCAACACGGTACGCTCCCGCTCCTGCACACTCCCTTGTCGACGACATCACCAGTCCTCACTCGCCCAGTGCATGCCAATAGCTATAATGCCACGTCAAAACTGGAGGGCTACAACTTCAACGATTCGCCCTACAACAACAGCATACGTGATCCCCGAGTCATGTTCGCCTTTCACCATGTACCCAGGCTATACAATTAATCTTTCTCCCGAGTCCACCCTCACGCTCTCCGATAGCGCCATAGCCACCCCTGAATGCTGGACCAGTACACCAACGCCCACCGGGACAGCGTCGGCGATGCCTGAACTCGACGGTGGTGCCAGCTCAGAAGATCTTGCAGCGAGTGACCTAAGAGACCCTTTTTATGCCAGTACAATCCCAATGGCATATTCAATATCTGCTACTACAACACTAGCATATGTCCTCCTATTCCTCCTGTTTCTCCCTAACCCGCCCAACTCACGACCATGGCTCCAAAAGGTAGCCACTCTCACCGTGGTAGTATGCCTCACCATTGCCTTTGCAGAAACCACAACAGTGCTTGAAGAGGAGTACAAACTCGTCGGCTCATCCCTCTACTCCCTCACCAACGAAGCACGTGAAGTCCGGCGTCGCGTCGTTGGCGGGACCGTTATCAGAATCGGCCGCATCATCTCGGACCTCTTCCTCTGGCTCGCCCAAGTACAAACACTAATCCGCCTCTTCCCCCGGGAACGTGAAAAGGTGATCATCAAATGGGCAGGCTTCTGCCTCATCCTCCTCGACACGATTTTCAGCATTCTACAGACCTTTGTTTCGCCGCTCGCAACAAACCCCGACAGCTTCCTGGACGCAATACCGGCACTATCATACCTCTTCCAGATCGCGCTATCTCTCCTGTACGCCTCGTGCGTGATGTACTACTCCTTCGCCAAGCGTAAATACTCATACCTGTACCCGCACTCCTTCTTCAAGCCCGCACCACCGGGCTCAAAGCAGTACGGCGGCCGCAGCATCGTCCTCGTTGCAATCCTTAGTATCGCAAGTGTCCTCACCCCAATCGTCTTCTTCGTGCTCGACATCGCACAAAAGGATCTCGCCGGCTGGGGCGACTACATCCGCTGGGTCGGTGCCGCCTCCGCATCCGCCGTTGTCTGGGAGTGGGTAGACCGCATCGAAGGTCTTGAGCGCGAGGAATGCAAAGGCGGAGTCCTAGGACGCGAGGTCTTCGACGAAGACGAAGATGAAGACGACGGCTTCACCAACGCTACAAGGCGACGAAGAACCCGGCGAAGAAGCGGGGACGACGACAACGGCGGCGGGGGAGGCGGCGGCGCAAACGGCATTCCGCTCAGTAGGGCCACCACCGTCACGAGCGCCAGCACGTCGTATGCCGTCAATGTGAGGCGGGTCGACACCGCAGACACGTTCATCGGGCGCTTTGGGACACCTAGTAGCAGCGGCGGTGGGGGCGGCGGCGCCGGAAGTGTCAGCGGAGTAGGCGGCGGGCTCGGCCGCGGCCGCGGAACACCCGGCACCGTCCGCAGTGCCAGCACCGTCAGTGGGCGGCACGCCACCCCCGCAATCTCCGAAGAAGTCGCCGCAAGCGCCGCAGCCGACGCCTTATCACCGCCGCTACCACTGCTAACACTATCAAGAAGACCAGAAACTGCGTCAGCAGAAGAGACCCCCGCCCCGGTGGTCGAGGATAGAGAAGAGGGTTGGGAGGATCATAGACGCAGTCCTAGTCCGCCATTCACAACTACTGCAACAACTACGCACAGCAACCTTCACCCTCCGACTCCGCCGGCACCGTCACAGTCTACAGAAACGCTCTGGCCGTGGCGGAAATGGCGGCAGGAGACGACGGCGTCACCGTCGATGCCTGCGCCCTCTGCAGCGTCGCTCCCAGTAACGATTATTCCTGCCCCTCCTCGTGGGGCCCGAGGATCTTGGGGAGCGGTGGAGAGAGCACGGGCAATGGCGGAGGCGGAGGCAGGGATTGCGGAGCGGGATGGCAGTAGGGTCGAGTTGCCGCCTAGTAGTAGTGGTAATGAGACTGTAGTTCGGGACTGGGGCGGTGGATAACCCGGGTGCCTTTTCTTCTCTTTCTTCAATTTTCTCTTTTTTTCGTTATGTATAGAGGGTAATCTAAAATAAAAAGGGGGACAGGAATAACTAACTAAACTGACTAACGTGGTGTGGTGGCGCGATGTGGACCTTGTTTCTGATTTTTGCGCGCTTTTTTTATTGTTTCTTATGTACAGTGGATGGAGGGTTTTATACCTAGGATGAGGATTGGGGTTCATTGATTTTTCTATTTAACTTTTTCTTTCTCTTTTGCCATAGTTACGGTTGGGGTGCATCATTTATTCATTCTTCTTACTTCCTATGCTTCTAGCTTGCATCTGCATGAGCACAGAGAGGTGTTTTTTTTTTTCCTTTTCCTTCTTACACTTGAGCTTGAGTTCTACCGGGGATATGTATTTAGTTTTTTCTTTCTTTCTTTATTCTCTTTATGACTCTTTTTTTGCATTATGATGATTATTACAATATATCCCATTTTCCATCCCCTCATAACTTAAAAAAGAGTTTCATATCCGTCCGTGTGTTCGAGCGAGTGATGATCCGTGTCTCAAACATATTCCTAGCTACACATCCAATGATATTTAAATAAGTAGGGATTCTGATCATTGACGGGTCAATATGCTATTAGCGTACCTACATGTACCTACATTTACACGCACGTATATATAGGACCAGACTAACTATGTAGCTGGACGCATCAACCCGTGGTTAGATCCGTGTACCTACATCATATTCATAGCCTTTCGTCCGACGGCTTCCAATAGCGCAATGCAACGCAGGGACTTTGACACATATATGTGGGCAGCCCCTAGTTCGTTCGTTCGTTTTTAAGTATGTACTAAACTTAGACTTCACGGCTCATTCTTTTAAAGAGTTCGTGAATGATATATGGATTATATATTATACGACTCATTTATCAATCAATTACAGACAAGCTGGCTTTGTTTTATAGGAATTGCGCGTTCGTATATATCGGGTAAGTGCTGAGAGATCCAAGAAAACGTTAATATTGAAGTTCGTTGATGGTGCTGGTTATTGAATATCACGCACGAGTTTAATGCAACGAAACTTTGTTTTCCAATCGTAATTGAATTTCGAAATAATCCATTGACCCATAACTAACCCTAATATCATCCCATCATACTAAGTAGGTTTTAACATAAAATAAACACGAAAAAAAATATCATGTCGAGAAGAAAGTACCCCCACGATAACAAAAGAAATAAAAACAAAAAAAAGGATATTCATCTAATCGAGTTCATCAAACTCAATCTTCATGGAAGTAGGGAAAGGCCAGAAACCACTCCAGTCCTCCTTCATATACACCTTGAAACCACCAGGCTTAGGAATGGCCTTGAGAATACCCGGCTTGCCGGCCGCACGTCTCAAGCCCTTCAGCTTACCAAACTCCATCAACATGGTTGTCAACCCAATGATGTTTGCCGCCTTTCCAAGACACTCATGTGGTCCAACACCGTACTGCATGTACAGTGATTCCGGACGGTCAAGTTTGATGACCTCAGGGTCTGGGAAGATGTCCTTGTCGCGAGAAGCCGTGATAAAGTTCACAAATACAAGGTCACCGTCCTGCAGATGAAGAATTCGGTCATAGTCATTGATGGTGACATCACTAGCACACCTCCTGTAGAGTCCGAAGGTACCAGCAAGACGTCCTCCCTCGAGAGCGTATTTCTTGATAGTCTCCCAGGCTTCATCAGTGTCGAGGGCTGCCAATCGTTGGATTTCTGCAAGATGGTGGGCGTTCTTTTCTTCAAGGTAGAAGTCGAGTACTTGTGCGAAGATTTGACCTTGGTTGGGTGCTGAGGCACCAGCAACGGGGACAATATAAGACCAGGTGACATCGTATGCGGACTTTCCGCCATCCAGGAGTCTAATTATTCATCGTTAGCTGTACTAAATCATTGAAATTAGGAAAGAAGGAACGAACCGTTTGATCATGTGATGTCCATACGAGGAAAGGGCGCTGTGATTTCTGCCACGAACATTTGTAGGATCCCAGATACCCTGAAGCCATCCCCAGTTCTTGATGCTCTTAACTTGCAATTCTACCAAGCTTCCGTATTGACGAACCACTCCGTACCCTGCTTGACGGAGCGGGAACGACTTTGAAGGGTCAACATCAAAGAAGATAACAATGAACATGACACAAAGAATCATGTACAGTTCCTGCTCTGTATAGATACCCTTAGGATGATCCTCAGATTTCATCGGGAGGTTGAAAATGGTCGCTGCAAAGTGCGTTACCGCCATATTACCAATGTCGCGGATAGCGTCGACCATATATCTACCACCAATGTGATAAGACTTGTTTTTGAGGAGCTCTCTGGTTGTTTCAGTATAGAACTGCTTAATCTGTGCCTTCCAGTCCACATCTTTTAGATAGAACCGTTCCTTCACAAATTGTTTCTGTTGAGCGTTGGAGCTTGTGTCACCGCTGAGCATGAAATCGGCCTTCATAATAAAGTCGAATCCTTCGCCCCAAGTAACCTTGAAGTTCGTCGAATCATTGAGAATCTGCTTAGTGGCAGCGTATGATGAGATCGGAATACGGACTGGGGTAAATTTTGGTCTGCTGAAGTCGAATTGATCGACCGTGTTCAATGAAGTCTGGATTCTTCTGTTTTCTTCCGGAATGGTAAGAGGGTACATCGCATAGATTGAGTTGCTCTTGAAGTGGTTCGGGAAGGCCTTCAGAATCAACTTGTACCCGACGCAACCATGCAGGACGTTCGCATCGGAAGAGGCCTCTGCGAGACCCCAGTTCGTCAATGCACCGGCCGTGTAGTCTACAGTGTAGAAACGATCTGCTCTGACTAATGTCACTGCATCGGACAAGATAGCTCTTGAGATTGTGTAGGTTGGACCAATACCAACACCGGGAACCATAGGCTTCTTGTCAGACTCAGCAACAAGACCAGGGTATAGTTCGACATAGTCAGGGTGGTCGTAGAGTTGACGGAGTGTATCCGCGATTTTTGGGTCGGGATTGATGTCCTCAAAAGTCTTGTGGGGCTGAAGAGCAAAGAATTCACGGAACTCGTTGAGAGATGCAATTCTCCATTTGCGGCACTGCTCGATACCGAGAACTTCTACCAAACGCAGGACATGCGGAACATTACGAGCACCAAATGCACCTATTTGATAACACATTAATTAAAGCTCGCCAAATACAAAGATCAAGAGAAACTTACCAGCAACATCCTCGATACTCTCTGTAAGAATCTTGACCAAGTCATCATCTCTGAAGCTTCCGTCGCCCTGTCTTGACAACCCACCAAAGGTTCTCTTGACAGGATCACTAGGAATCTTCGATTCCCACTGATTTACACCCACCAAGAACTCCCTCATACCGACATCATCGGGATTCTTCCCGGGGAATAAACCCGCGTAGAACTCCTTGGTCCAGGCATCATCTCTCTTCGAGATACACGAATGCCAGCGGTAGACTAAGTTGAACTCAACCGATACCATGTTTCCAACACCTGCAGGTGTGCCATCAGGGTTGTAGATCTTATCGGGGTCAAAACGTGGGTCAAGCGTCCATGTGGTGTCAACACGGTTGAGATTCACAATTGTCCGGAGATAGTCATTGAGAATAAAGTTGATGTAGAGACCACATGTAACTAAACGGGCTGTCTGGAACAACTCGTAATCTTGGTTTGCCACAGCCTCGGCATGAATCTGCTCTCGGGTCTTATCTGGGACAGGTCGTCGTGGGTACTTCAAATCAAATCTCCCGCCTTCGTTGATAGCTTTTAATCTGTTCGATGGCTAAGATCAGTATCCACAACTTCGATCCGATCCTTCTTAAGAAAGAACTTACTGCTCAGCAACATAGTTGTGGAAACGCCCAAACATGATGACCATAACTGACACTCCTGGTGGGAAAGCCAACAATCTCTTCTCAGAGAACGAGTCTGGCTTAATTTTTCCGTCAACGAAAGTACGCATTCTATCTAAATCTTCTTTGTTATTTCCGTAAAGAGGGGCGAGATCCAAATACGACGACGCATCAGAAATGTTAGGATCATCACGGTTGGTTCGGAACAAGTCTACTCAAAATTAGTATTTAGGTTTTCCATTGGAAAAGCTGTTTAAGAGGAGTACTAACCATGAATAATAATACTGGCAGTGTAAAATAGCATACTGCTGACATTATTGTCATGTTCACGGTAGTTCTCATCATTCTTTCCTCTACTGAAGATGCTATCGAAAACCAAGTATGGATCTGGTGGAGCAGCAGGCATCTTCGTCATTGGCTTAACAGATCTCGCATATGGTGACCCGGCCGCCCCAAGTTGTGGGTACATAACGTTGTTGTAGCTTCCATCAGGTTGGCGGTAATGAAACTGTGATCCAAGATATGATAGAGGAGGATGCTGGAGCGAATCCCACAATTGATCAACTTGGTGGGTAGTCAGAGAAACTCGAATTTTACTGGTAGGTGGCAATCGTGAGGTGAGTTGAATAACTCGTTCCATCTACATGTACAAAAAAAAAAAAAAGTCCATTAGCAAATTATTCACGAGAAGTCATCTGGTGCATAACATCTGCATTGGTGATTGGACCACACCGCTCCCCGTTCAATTGGGCAACAGCAGGGTTTTATCATATCAAGCACAGATATAATAGAACAAATGGGGAATTATGCTAACATACGATCATGGTCTTATCGTCGACTGGTCCTCCGCGCCTCTTCTGTTGCACAAGCTGCCATAATGTTGCAACGGACTCTAGAAGGAAGCCACCTTTCCTCAAGGTCGAGATATCTGTCCAGATACCTGTCTGTTCGGCTTCCGGGGACCTGTCTGTGCCGTTCCCATAGCGGTTGGGTAGAGGGCGGTTTGAAGCATTGATCAATGCAGAAAATTTGTCAAAACTGCTATCTACATCTTTTCTCGTCTGCTTCGCAAGAGGTGGAGGAGGTTTAATCCCCGCCGAGGAAGAGCCAACGCCGTTCGAAGCCATTGCGGGGTTAG